CACTGGATGTTTTCAGCCTGTTTCAGATAAACGCTGCTTTGTTCTGTTCTGTCTCGACCTGCTGACGTCTCCGTCACGTTAATTAGATGAAGAGTCACATGTTCCAGACTCAGGTTCACATTTAACGTCTCTTCACTCTGTTCACTCGTCCTGCTGTCAACTGTCAGTGTGTGTGTGTGTGTGTGCGATGCCGCAGACAAAGAAGACGAGGTGGGACGTCACCGACAATCCAAACGTTAACTTTGGTTCACAGTTGATTTTAACGTGTTTCCTGTTTGTTGCTGCAGGTTCGACTCGAGTCGAGCGGTGCAGCAGCTTCGAGCTTGTGGCGTTCTGGAGACGATCCGGATCAGTGCGGCCGGATACCCGTCCAGGTGAGTCCACGCTGTACAAACTGATCTCAGGTCTGTGTTTCTGCTACAGGAGCCGCAGCATCTCGTTGTTGTTGTTATTGTTCTTCTTCTTCTTCTTCTTCTCTCTGCAGCTCGTTCTCCTCTCAGTGTTTTTCTCCTGAGTCAGTGTGAAATCTAATAATCTGAGTTCATGTGTGACACCATGAGAAACAACAAGTTACATAACCAACATGTTTGATCTTTATTGATCTTTTAGTTTGAAACATTTAAAGACTTCAACATCAAACCGTCAACACAGTTTCTCTGGTTTAAATATATAAAAATACATAATGATGATTAAACGTCACAGATTTTATTTACTTTACTTAAGTTTATTTTGAAGAGATAACCATGTGTGTGACTTCCTGTTTGCAGGTGGACGTATCCTGATTTCTTCAGCAGGTATCGAGTGTTGATGAAGAAATCCGACATGACGTCATCTGATAAGAAGCTTGTCTGTAAAAACCTGCTGGGGACGCTGATCAAGGTCAGAACGCCACACGTTTAATACACGTCAAGGAGTCATGGTTCAGATCAGTGATCGGATCAGTGATCGGATGAATGGTCTGTTTTCCTCGTGTCTCAGGAGCCAGACATGTTCCAGTTTGGAAAGACGAAGATCTTCTTCCGGGCGGGTCAGGTGGCGTACCTGGAGAAGCTCCGCGCCGATAAGTTCCGAGCGGCGTGCATTAAGATCCAGAAGACGGTTCGAGGCTGGCTGCAGAGAGTCCGATACCGAAAGATCCGCAAGACTGCCATCACTCTGCAGAGATACGGCCGAGGTTACCTGGCCCGCAGGTTAGTGTCGGGTTCACACGGACACGATGTTGAAGTGTTTAGATTTCAGGTCAAAGGTCACAGTGACCTCGTGTGAGTCGTGGACAGAAGCTGGACTGGTATGTGGAGACAAACCACCAGTTTCATTTAACATCATAATGATAATTAAATGTTTGTTGTAAAATCTCTGTGATTGAACATCAACCAGGTGGTTTTCCACTTTGTTCAGTTTGCGTCTCATCCTCCTGTCGTTGTTTTCTCCTCAGGTACGCCGAGTATCTGCGTCTGACTCGAGCAGCACTCGTCTGTCAGAAACAGTATCGTATGGTGAGAGATCGACGGGCGTATCTGAGGGTGAGACAGGCGGTCGTCACCATCCAGGCCTACGCTAAAGGGATGTTCACCCGCAGGATTTACTGGGAGGTAAAAACACATTTGGTGTTGTTGAGGTTCACACTGTGTTTCTGACCGATGAGGACTCTGCGCTTCGGATCTCTGCACGCCGTCCTCTCACGTCACGTCTCTTCTCCTCAGTTCCTCCTGCATCACAAGGCCATGATCATCCAGAAGAACGTCCGTGGCTGGATGCAGAGGAAGAAGTTCAAACGGGCACGGAACGCTGCCATCACCATCCAGTGTGCGTTCAGACGCACACGTGCCAAACAACAACTCAAACAGCGGAAGATCGAAGCTCGTTCAGCGGAACATCTGAAGAAACTCAACTCAGGGATGGAGAACAAGATCGTCCAGCTGCAGAGGAAAATGGACGACCAGGTATAGTGCCACACTCACCAGGAACCAGGGATACGACTGTTGTTCTTCTTCTACTGTCACTGCTGCTCATTCAGACTCATATTTAACCTTTTCCTGTTTCAGTCTAAAGAATTAAAAATCCAGAACGAGCAGCTGCAGACTGTGAACATCGGTCTGGGCTCGGAGGTGAACAAACTGCAGAAGGAGCTGAAGCAGCTCCAGGGTCAGCGCAACGAAGGAGGTCAGCTGACGACCCTGCAGGAGGAGCTGGAGAGGCTGAGGGCGGAGCTTCAGGAGGCGCACGCTCTCAGGAAGAGACTGGAGGAGGAGCACAGCAGCGAGAAAAAGAGCCTGAAACAGGTGAGTGTGAAATCTGTCCAATCAACGACGAGTTCCAGTCACTTCCTGTGATGACGTAACTGATGATGTAATTTACGTCCTTTCACCTCCATGACGTCAGAGGGTGGAGGAGCTGGAGACAGAGAACTCCCTGCTGAAGAGCGAAAAAGAAGAAATGAACCAGAGGATCCTTCAGCAGACGAAGAACTCCCCAGGTGAGACGTTACCTGCCTCCGCTCTGCTGCCCCCTGCTGGTTTCATCTCCACACTGTTTACTTAACCTGTAAACCACAGGTCTCTGTCGTCAGCTTGTTGTAATGTGCAGCTTCACCACTAGATGTCAATAAAGGATTCAGTGTCATCTAGTGCTGAAGTCTGAACACTGAAGCTGGAGCAGGTCGAACTGTGTCACTGATTCTGTTCTGTGTGTGTGTGTGTGTGTGTGTGT